GCGAGAGAGAGAGAGAGAGACCCATGCGTTGCTCAACCTTAGTAGCGGGAGGGGGCTCCTTTCTCGTTCCTCGGAGAGAGAGAGAGACCCATGCGTTGCTCAACCTTAGTAGCGGGAGGGGGCTCCTTTCTCGTTCCTCGAGGAGCGAGCGTGGCGTGCTTTGGGAGAAGGGGAGTGGAGGCCAAGCACTGTTGCTTGCTGCAGTGGGTATTGATTTTCCCTTTTTTTCCTCTCTCTCTCTCCATGCTTATTTATTTCTTTTCGCGACGGAGGGGAAAAGGAGGGAGGAGGAAGGAAAGCCCCCCCCCGCTCCCTTTTGCGCCTGGAAAGGGACCCCTCCCCTTCTTTTCTCTTCCTCCCCTTTACTTTCGCCTCCGCCTCTTTGAGTGCCTGCAGTGCATGTTGATTTATCTCCGTAGCCATTGAACATATTGTTTCTCCTCCTCCTCCTCCCCCCTCCCCGCCAGCCTCCAGGTCTTGGCAGAAGTGTTAGAAGTGGGCTTCATTCCCCGCTTTTGTCAAAGCGGAGGGAGGGGGGAGGGGGGGAGCCAAGTTGCTCCCTTTGCTCGCCCTCTTGGATGCCGAGGTACCTGTTTGTGTAATCATAACGGGTGGGAACGGCTTGGCCTCCTATCCCGCCTGCCTGCCTGCCACCGACTCATACCGCCTTATATAGGAAGGGCGCTTACTTTTCATTTCCCAGGGCTGCCTTTCGCCTTTCCTCCCTCCCCCCTCCCTCTCTGAGCACTACTTTGAAACTTACCCCGTTGTTTGGTGGGGGGTTTTTTTTGGTCCCTTTGCTCTGTCTTGGCAGATAACGGGAAAGCCGGTGACTTCATGGGATGGTTTTGTAACCTTTCTTGGCCATTCTGGAGCTTTGCGTGTGGCATTTCCTGTACTCTGTATATATGGTTGTGCGGATAGGAAGCCTCTTGGCCCAGGACCATGACGCTTTTTTTGTGTGCACTGGTGTTTTCTTTTCTCTCTCTCTCTCTCTCTCTCTCTCCAAAAAAACTTCACCATACTGTAAACAAACAAGCGAGGGGTCTAAAGCAAGGCATTAGCATTGCAATGGCATAGACCAGGGGTCCTCAAACTTTTTAAACAGAGGGCCAGGTCATAGTCCCCAAAATTGTTGGAGGGCCGGATTATAATTTGAAAAAAAACATGAATGAATTCCTATGCACACTGCACATATCTTATTTGTAGTGCAAAAAACACTTAAAACAATACACTAATTAAAATGAAGAACAATTTTAACAAATATAAACTTAATAGTATTTCAGTGGGATGTGTGGGCCTGCTTTTGGCTGATGAGATAGGATTGTTGTTGTGTGCTTTCAGGTCATTTCAGACTTAGGTTGACCCTGAGCGAGGGCCGGGTAAATGACCTTGGAGGGCCGTATCCAGCCCCCGGGCCTTAGTTTGAGGCTAAGGCCCAAGGGCCGGATACAGCCCTCCAAGGTCATTTACCCGGCCCTCACTCAGGGTCAACCTAAATCTGAAATGATTTGAAAGCACACAACAACAACAATCATATCTCATCAGTCAAAAGCAGGCCCACACTTCCCATTGAAATACTAATAAGTTTATATTTGTTATCATTTTAATTATTGTATTGTTTTAAGTGTTTTTTGCACTACAAATAAGATATGTGCAGTGTGCATAGGATTTCATTTCATGTTTTTTTCAAATTATAGTCCGGCCCTCCAACAGTTTGAGGGACTGTGACCTGGCCCTCTGTTTAAAAAGTTTGAGGACCCCTGGTTTAGGATAAGGCATTCAGCCCTCCTTTCGCCTGCATCTATGGCATGAGGCACAAAACAGGATCCAGTTCTTGGACATCAAAATCCACAATTAATAATAGGCACCACATATCCATCATATTACATCCGAAACAGCTACATAAAATTTCATTTCAGCCGAACCCACGTTTGGTTTTTTTTGGTAAGTCGGAGTGACTTGATAAAATGTCAATTGCTTGTCTGGTGTTATTATTTTCTTTCTCGAAGGACGGCATTTACTCTCATATTTTTTTATTTTTATCATCCTCTATATTAGTCTTTATTTTCCCGCACTTATTATTGTAACTATATTTTAAATCTTGTACTCTTCCTTATCTCCAAACCTGTTAACGTTTTCTTCATTCCCTTTGTACATTTTTTAAACACTTCTCCCTCTTATCAAAACCTAACTACCACCATTCTCCATTCTTTCTTCATTATATCCATCTTTCACCTCTTTCCCCATTTTTTTATCAATGAAG